ATTCACCGGGAGACCCCCATCGGCATTGCCGGCTGTAAATTATGGTCATTCCTAAGAGGTAACAAGAGAGGTTCTGTCAGCTGTGCAATTACTTTGTTTTGGCAGGACACATTGGAGTCAAGAAAACATTGGCTGGAGTTCAAGGCCAAGATTTTGGATCAGCTGCCATCATAATTTTTCAGAAATGTGATGATCGTTCCTCAAGAAATAGTTTCCTAAGTAGGCTGCAGGAATGTCTCCCATGCATGTTCAAAAGCGACTTAAAGAATGAAGCCTGTGGGGACTGACCAGTACAGCTGAGTTATCGTGGGCTTTCCAAGCAAGGGGTGAGAAGTCCAGCTCACTTCAGGAACCCTCTTCAGTGAATATAGTGAAGTGGGAGAGGGTGGCTTCCAGTGAGCAAGGACATGCCCGGACTCTGTATCTTCTACAGCACTATGAGCACAGTAGTAGGAAATCTGTCTGGAAAGATCTTCTCTTTTCTTCATTGTATGTTCTGTGCTAAACAACATAATGTCTCTACACTGGCCACAAACTCTCCAGAGGTCGATGAAGCCCTGGATTCTGATGAAGCCCTAGATGGAATCGTTCCCCTTTCTTTCCTTTCACAGTCCTTCATCTGTATAGAAGAAAGCATCACTCATAGTTTAGAAAATCAAGGGTTGCAACTTGAAAACCCAAGTCTACGGCATGGCAAGGAGAATGTTCTCTGCCCTTCTTTATTTAGCATAACATTGCCGCTAGACCCTCAAGTTTTTGCACTGTTGTGGTTGTTGAGGGAAACATTTTCAATGTACCTGAGTTTCTAAGGTAGAAAATGAAGTTTGAGTTGTGAGATGTTGGGTGTAAAACAATATTTTGAGTAGAAATATTCTGGAAGCACATATGTGATGTTTATGGAGACACTGAGCATGTCTGGCCAGGGAGGTGAGAGAGAAAAATGTCAGTGTGAGGATGGTAGCTGGACTAGGCCAAGGATATCCTAGAAATAGGAGCCAAGTCATATTATCAATTCATTTTATAAATTTTATGTGAATAAAATTAAGAAACACTTATTAAGAAACACTCAATATTCTATAAGAGTATTTTTTTAAAGACTATGGCTGACCTCTGAGGATTGTATAGTTAAGACAAATGGTTTCCAAAATGAAGGCTCAGGCTGAATCTAAATTTTCTAAGGAAATTGTAGTCATTACTCAAGGAAGCCTGTAAAAATTTCTCTGATATGAATGCACTTAGATTAGTTCTGCATTACAAATATCGTATTTCAAATGTCAGAAAGGTTTGGACTCAGCTTACATGGAAGACCTATGCAAAGTGACTCAATCACTTTGCACTGAATTTTGGTTTTCTAGACTTTTTATCATGTTTCCAACTTTGCCCTGTGTGCTGTGTGGTGTGGGGAGGGCACTATAAACTCAGGAAGTTAGAGGCCTGGCAGATTCACAGAAAAGCTTCCAACTGTCAGACTCCTAATATTTCTCATCTTTTAGCATCACCAAGTAGCAGTGCACACACTAATCTCACTAAAATACTGAGGGTTTCTGGTGAGATAACAATGTAGGATTTTCAATTGAGGCCACCAAAGTCCTTTGATATTTTAAGGATGTCTGTTACAGGAATCAAAATCTTTGATCTTCTGGCAGACCCTCACAACAGAGGCATCATGAAGCTGGGAAGCTTCTCCTGAAACCCAAGGCTTCTTTTAGGGTATCCCTCATTCTCTAACGTAAGGATCACTAGGTAGGGTTTTGAAGCCCTGGGGTCCAGTCCTGGGTTTACTGTTTGTAATATGTAAGACTTTGAACAGATCACCTAACATCTCAGAATATCAATCTCCTTATCTGTGAAATACAAGTGTCATTGATGGGTTGAGTTGTGTCCACCTAACAAAAAGAGAATGGTGGACAGCAGTTTTCTGCTCAATCCCTAACCACCAGGTCTGCAGGGAATGTGCCCTGTTGTATAGCATTTGTTGGTTCCCATGACATAAATACTTGCACCAATTCCAAGACACCAGTGTGACATCACTGGACACAGAGTTGGGAAGAAATACACAGCACACACTGAGATAAGGAAGGTATTTCCACAGTAAAAGTAAAAAAAAAAAAAAAAAAAAAAAAACTCCACAGCATAGTCATAGGAAAACATAGTCAAATAAGCAGCAAATAATATTTTGAATTTTTATTACCTTGATTTTTCACAAATTTAATGGAGGTTTTTGTAATTTTGTTTTTTTAAGAAAAGCTTGTTGATCAACCAGCTCACAAAATTCCTGAAGACTTCAGCATTTGTTCTCATAAGCTGGTGTGGGTCAGCTCCAGCACACCACCAGAGGATTTCATTTCTTTTATATGATGGAGAGGAACCAGAGAATGCCAGTTAATTTTTAAATAAGATCTAAAAATAGCTTCGAGCCAAGGCTTACTTGAATGAGAAGATACAGGATCATGGCTGTGTAGAAATGAGAATAAAATGCAAAAAGAACTCATACTGATGTGCAGGATTTGGGCTTTTCTATTTTTCTCTTAAGCCACAGCAGCTAAGTTTAGAAAAGGCTTACAGAGAAGAGAGAGAGAGAGAGAGAGAGAGAAGGAAGAAAGAAAGAAAGAAAGAAGGAAAGAAAAGTTCCATTCCATAGTTTAGAATGATCTACCTCTGAAGTGTCGGCACATTACTATCACTATCATTATTGCCATTATTAAAATAAGAAATCAAGATGTTTTGCCATAGAAGCTGCTTATAATTACAGTTAAAACATTTTGAGAAACATTTGGTTAAAACATTTCTCAACATTTTGAAGAAAAACTATGAAAAATTATATATCATGTACAATCAGGAAAATGAGATATTATACTCCATTTATGTATGATGTGTCAAAATGCATTCTATTGTCAGTTATAATTAGAAAAAAATAAAAAATAAATAAATAGAATAGAATATTTAGCTATAAGACCAAAAAATGGGGTGGGGGGGAAGCTATGAAAATCTTCCAAGGAAAGAGATGCTTGTTTTACCAATGGTTTAGGTCTGAGGGTGACTTGTTAATCATTTGACTATAGTCAGAGTATGAGAGATTTCTCAAAGAAGAATAGAGATGATCTATTAGAAATCTGGCCTAGCACACAGGTTTTGTGTGGGCCTTAAAAGAACCAGCAATCAGGGATTTACCAATAGAAATTTCTAAGTCACTGGGATACAAAACAAGGGGTAAGGCGTGTACTTAGCAGACAGGGCCCTGGGCTCTTGGGCTACAGTCCCTATTCTCACACCCTGGCTCTATCATTTCCTGGGTAGATGACCAGGGTGAGTTATCTAACCACTCCATGTCTCAGAGATGACCACAGTGGCAGGTTCACAGGGCGGTGGTGATGATTGTGTGAGACACAGGGCTTAGGCCAGCACACAGCAGAAGATCCGTGCTTTATCCACTTGAGCCCCTTGCTAGGGGCCCACCCCCACAACCTTGTGTATTCCTCGTGTCCTCGGCTATGGAATAAGGGTAAGGATTGGAAAGGATGTGAATCTGCTCTATGGTCATGAAAAATAAGCCCTCAGAGCCTTAGTAATGAGCCAATCTTGATCCAAAGAGCCCAGGAAGTCGAGGGGCACTTGTAGGGTTTCCCTCATGAAGATCTTCATGGCTTCCTGTTTTGATACATATTAGGCACTGCCCCAAAATCCCACAAAGGAATTAGTATCCTTATAACTGTACAAAGGAGAAAACTGAGGCTCCAAATGGTCCTGTGGTGTGTGGAAGTCACAGAGCTGGCCCATGGAAGAGCAGGATTGAAGCTCTATGGCTTTTATTACGGGAAACCATTGAAGAATATCCCAGTTTTAAGAAAATCTAGTTTCAGAAAACAGAAACATTATGAAGTGAGTATTAACATTGCAGAACCCTTGGGAGTTTTTTGAGTAATAGTTCTTTGTGGAGGAAATATTTTGCTTTGGGGTCAGTATTTAACCAAGAAGCCAAAGGGAGAGAAATGAATCTACACTGCCAGGGAATTCTTTGGACATAGGCAGATTGAAATCTGTGATGCTAAAAGAATATGTGACAAGAAGAGAGATGGCACATGGCCCCAAGTTTGCCCAGTTAGCCATACTTACGAGTTTGCAAGCCCCAAGTTTGTCATAGAAATTAGTGAAGAAGTCTGGATCTAAGAACATTGGGAGAGTAGGAACTTGGGAAAATTGGAGAGCACTTTCCCCATGCTAAGACATTCAAATTCCATATTTTTCTAAACATTGCCCAACAAAATCCATCTGTAGACCCGCCCCACCCCCCCACACACACACACACAAACCCATCATAACCCCTGAGATGACTAATGTCCCCAAATAAAGTAGAGCTTTTTTGAGATTAGGAGAGTCATGGAAGCTGCAGAATATCAAATGTGGACACAGTATAAGTGGAAGCTGTGGTGTTGATGATGGGGACCTCAGTGGTGACAGCAGCAGGACCAGGGGATGATTGCTCCAACCATAGGACTTGCTACGTATTTAAAGGAAGTAATAAGTAACTTCTCAGAAAGTGAAGCCACCCAGAGACAGCTAAAGGTGCTAGAGGTCAGTTACTCTGCTTAATACTCAGGAACATGGGGAGCTCTTGAGAATGACAAAATAGACTGTAATCTCTTTAAAGTGGAAGATGGACATAATAGCATGAGTCAATGAGGTCAACTGGAACCATGAGTGTTCTCCATCTGCACAGACTCAAGAGAGTGGTTATTATTCATGAAGCTTTCTTCCTTTACCTGCTAATTCAAGGTCTGTCCCTTATTTAAATAAAATATTCTTATTTCTTTAAATTTCCCTTTGCTGAGCAGAAATTCTTGAGTCCTTTCATGGGTATCATTCAAACATCCATCAGGCCCATTGACTGATCTTCCACTTAAACTAATCCTAAAATAGAAAGCCCTCAAAGGGTAGAAAACAGATTATCCACATATGGATGTGTGCAGTGTATGTTGGTTGAATTATACACAGGGAAAGGCTTCTGTGGTTGTATTTTTTTAATGAGAACACATTGTTATACTCTGAGTACGTGGCATTCTTGCTTAATATAAACATTTACAAGAACACATACACATTTATATCCAAACACAAAATGAAGTAGGTATTTTAAATGACCAGTTTGCACCAGAAATAAAATATATTATACAAAACGGGTTATATCCACAGTCATTAATTCTCATTTTCTACACAAAACAACAATAAATTAAATCACATTATATGCAGATAGTTCTACTTACATTAGAATAATAAATTGTGTGTGGCTTGTGCAGCTTTCACTTTTACTTCTCTACCAGATTTGTAGTAGATTGTGTTGGTTGGTAGTGCTATATTTATGTTAACAATGTATGATATGGTCTAGGAGACAAGGGCCACAGAATTGATACTCAACTATATCTATCCTATATCTTCTTGGTTTCATTAATGCACAGGGAACAAAGCTCCCCTTCCCGGATATATCAGTCTGCAAACTCACAGCATCTCCATGCTGTTGAGGGGGCACTTCTTGCTGTCTTACATTACACTGAACATTTTCAGATCTTGGCATTGACTAATAAATAAGGCACCCCATTTCAAAATCCAAACTCGCCCCTTTCCTAGCCTTCTCTGTCCAATATTAATTATGTATTTTAACAGATTTGTTCTAATAGCAAATGAAAAATAATTTGGTAGTTTGCGTTGTAATTTACACAATTTACACATTGTGTAGTAAGTGGACTCTTTCTTCCTTGTGCATAGAAATTTAAGTCTTCAAACATGAATCAAAGCAATGAAACATTTTATTCTACTTGTTCAAATCTCTCCACTAGGAATCGTCCTACACCTGACACATCAAAGAGCTATTATAATATATGGATTTTTTTGCTTCTGAGACTCGGTTCCTACTGAAACCCTTCCACGGTGTTTGAAGTATCTTATAACATGAACATAACAGCATCATCTGGTGTAGCATGCTTTGCCTTTGGTATGAAGTGACATTAGTGGTTAATGAGAAATTTGAACAAACTCAACCCAGCACCTTTTGAAAGTTATTTTAATTCTACAGTCGATCTGTGGGGTAATGCCTGCAAGAGATATTTGTGAAATCTGCATGCTGAAAACCAAAGTCAGGCTTGTTGGAGTTGATGCACATCACAGGCTTGAACTGTGAGGGGCATGTGTGGTCTAGTTAGTATAGGGTTCTGATGAAAAGCCAGCTACCTTCTTATAACCAGCATTATTTTGCCATTTTCCCTCTAAGGATGTACAGAGGCCTGTTCACAAGTTCCCACTTGCTGACATACCTTCAGCCAAAACGGATGGAGGGTGGGGTTGGGGTGTAAAGACAGTGACAGCCTGCAAAGCTACACTCTTCCATTTCTGTTGGTGGATGAAGTGCCTACTGAGTGTGGCCATTGGAGAGGGACTAAATTGTTGGTTATTCTTCAATTCTAAGACAAACTGAAAAAGAAACTCATCCCTCTGAATATCACCATCTCATTCCCTCTGTTTCCAAGCTGCCCCTAAACATATCCTGTGTTTTTAAACAGTTTCAGTTTTTTCCACTGAATGAGAAATTGAACTCATTACCAGCTTCCTTAGGAGGCCCTGAACCACAGGGTGTAACTAAACAAAACCCATGATACGTAGATCAAGGAGCCTAATTTAGGTTGGCGTTTGCCTTGAGGACTGCATCCATTCAGCATCAGAGTTCTTTGTGTCCCCAAAACACAGACACTTGCTCCTTCCAATTTATGAACACTCCCTTAATACTGGTGGCCTAGTATTCCACTCAGTCTCCTGAAGAGACTTCTGTAAATAGCCAGCATGTGCCCACTTACAGGAAGGCGACGATGCCACTGGACCTAATTCTGAATCCACGGCTGTCTGTGTGTGAGGTCTACCTTGGCCTTGATTTTCACTGCCCACAGCAGATCTTAGGCCCCAAATCGGTCCCAACCAGAAGAAAAGTGATGATAGGGGCAAAGAAAGCACATGGGCCTTGAGCTAATTAATGGTCCTCAAAGCCTGTGAACAGGGAGACGTGATTGGCACTCCAAAGCAAAAGTCTTTGAACTTTAGGAAGGAGAAAAGGAGGCATTTGTTCTTTCCAAACATTTCTGCCCTCCCTCCATTAAATGTGGCTTCTGACATTTAGAGAATTATTATAAAGCCTATGGAGCCATATCTGTGGTTCAGAGAAAAACAAGTTGATGACTCTTCAGACAAATGCAGTTTCCAGGGGCTTCCTCATAAAACCTGTGATCAGGCTGCAGAAAAATATGGACTGTATGCAGGAAGTTCTTTCCAGATACAAGTTGTTCATGTGGGGAAAGTTTTTGTTTCTGAGTTCCTCTCCCACCCTCCAAAATCTAAGACAATAATAATGGCATAAAATCTACACTTATTTCTAACATCAAAGAATATATGCTCATTTTGACCTGTATCAATGTGAGCTTATATGTGACCAGATGAAGAATACTGATAAAATATCCTTTTTGAAATCTGAACACCTTGGATTTCAGGGTAAAACTTTATTTTAAGAACCAAAGCGCTATTTATTTTATTATATAATTTGTGGCTACTGGCAGAGTATGAATGACTAGTTGTCAAGATGTTGCTTAACAATTAGGAATTTAAGTCCCAAAATACAACCTCTAGAGATCTTAATGCAGGGCAACCTTGGGCCAAACATCTATACTTTTAGCAAAGGTTTCCCACTGGGGAGCTTTCAGAACTTAATGGAGTAATTCATATGAAGATTTCAAGGAAGAAAAAACAATAGAGATGTAAATAAGCAACCAGAATGATTTCCACATACCAAAAACCTTGTGATCTGTTCCTGCCATTTTTAAAAGATTAAATTCTCACTTGTCTTTAAGATCTTAACTAGGGATACAATATTAAATTTAGAACTACTTTTCTATCTGAAGTATTAAAAAAAGATATTTACTCTAAAAATGTTGGTGTTTGTGGGCACACTAAAAGATTAGAAGTGTTTATAACCAAAGACAACAACCAGGTAGAGTAATAAGCACCTAGGTTTGGAAGGTAAATGTTCTCACCAAATAAAAATTAATAGAAAATTAATATCTCTAAAATATATGAAAAACACCATTGAAAAGTAAGAGTTAAAGAGAAATCAGTTCTCTGATTCACATAATTAAGGTAGATGTGATCCCTCCTCACCTCTGTTTTGGCTCTGGGGACCCCACAGCCATCAAACATCGCTTTCCTGTGTTTTACTTCTCAATCTTCCTACATCTGGATTTCAGGAGTTTGCTTTTCTTGACTTCTTTTTTTCCCCCACTGTTTTTAGAATTCAGCACTTTTTACTTTGCATTCAGCATGGGGACCTACAACTGTCATTGTTTCTGTGACTATTATTAATTCATCTTCCACACCCTCCCAGCAACCTGCATCCCATTTTCTAAACAATAGAGGGAAAACTGGCCCATGCAGAAATACTCCTTCCCTTAGGATGATGAATTGTGAGTCACAGAGCAGTCCCCTGGGGAAGCACGCTCAGGCTAAGGACAAGGACATGCTGCACCCACTCAGCTTGCCTCCACACTCACCTTCGCACCACCACCACCACCACCACCACCACTGAGGAGCTGTTCAGACTCCTGTCTGTGGCCTTTACAGATATGAAGATGACTTTTAAAACTATGTTTCAGATCCTCAAAGTGTGGCTAAGGAAGAACCCTGGTTGCATAACTATAAGATGGAACACTCATCAGACAGCCACCCATCTTCCCACACTGTAATCCTCTGTGCACCATCATGGATGCAAAGCAGATACCCAATAAGTACTTATTTTCCTTCTCCAAAATTCCTAATGTCTGCACCTAACCCACTCATTAACACAGGTGTTTAGGGGGTGGCCATGAAGCTCTATGGAGTTGACTGCAAGCGGACATGGTGGACATTTAGATGCCCTCTTTTAGCCAAAATCACCACTGTGAATTTTGGCAAATATCATGTATGTGTTTTTTTCAATTTCTCATTTCTGTGCTTACTGTCAAATTCTCTCTCTGTTTAGTTGTTCTTGAGGAAAAACCGCTACCTGTCTTTATAAAACTCTGTTTAATTCTAAATAGCTTTTCCTTCCTGATCTTGAAACTCATAATCTAGCCAGAATTGGAAGGGATATAACCCTGAAATGATTTGCACTTAAAACAGTCAAAAATGCAAAATGGTTTCGGAAATTTATGACTCCTGTGTCTATAACCTGAATACAGTTCTAGTTCTCTGTGATTAAAGCAGCAATCTGGCCAAGATAGAAACAGAAGAGAAGTATCTTTCATCATCATTGATTTGTTGTACACTTTACCCATTCATTTAAAATATAAGTGAAATTTAATCTTCAAAATGAAAAAATAGACACATTTTTCTAATACCAAAATATAAGATTAAAATACTTAAAAATAAAATGTTAGTGTGAAATAGGTTTTTTTACATAAAAAAGAAAGAAACATTTCAGACTTGCTTTTCTTGTAAAAACCCTCCTACCTCACTAATATTTACAACTTTCCAGAGTAGCTTTTATGAGACACTGAGAGAGACAGGGAGGATCCTTTCTCGAGATATGAAGTCAGACCTGAATGTAGACGTTAGACAGAGCCCTGCTCCACCACAACCTGTCCTCCAGCTCCAGAGAGACGGACACTGTATTTCCAACCTCGAATTTTTTTTCATTACAGTTTCCTCTCATTGGGTGTTAAATTCTTTCCAAGAATATTCTACTTATAAAAATGATTTTATTCTAGCTACAAAACAGTTCATTTAAGAAAACCACATTTTTATATCCTTGTGTGAAATGTCCCCAGAAACCATCCAGATATGGAGACAGCAGGTTGTAAAAACACAAGTCTAATTCTATGCCCTCCAAGCAGTATGAACATTTAACAGAGTGACGTTATATCCTTATATTTCTTTGTCATGAGATGAAAGGCTAGGAGGCCAATGGTGATTAATAACAGTTCCTGAGCTTCTAAAGAAATTTTAAGACAAAATGACTAACTGCTTAAAAGAATGAATTCTTCAAGAACACCCCTTCTGTTCCATGGATGTCTTTCATCCCAGCTTAAGAATCTCAAGCAGAGGGGGTGGGCGGGGAGGAAGGCTTCTTTTAAGCCACTGAAAAATGGGATCTGATGGAATCTTCCCGCAACTCTCGATGTTTTCCAATGTTACTTTCTTCTTGCTGGTTTCGCCTCTCAATGGTTATTCTGTATTTCTTCCTGGGTAAAGGGAAAGTAAATGTAGTAATAAAACCTCGCTGGCTACAAAATACTATGGTTTCTCTTACAGAGAATGCCCTCAAGGGACATCTGGGTTTGGTTTGATAAATGAGAAGTGACAGAATATGAAACCCTGGTCAGAGATTAAAGTAGTGTGCCCCAAGGCGTTATGTCTCTATTCAAGCACAAAAATTGGCATGCTCTCCGAAAAACCATAGAACAAGCCTTCCCCTTCTTCCCTGGGTGCCTTGTGGGTGAGGTCTTGTCCATTCTGCCACAGAGGCGCTGCTTGATTCCCAGGATATGCTCCAGATAGCATCAGATGAAGGGTACTGTGACCAAAGGAACAGGAGTACAATTGTTTCCATAAAGGGTCACACACACTGGGAGTTACAATTCCATGCAGAAGTAAAGAAATCTTGGGTCTGATGACATAAAAAGAAGTCACAGACCCAGCCGTCAGAGATTACAAAGGAATGGACTGCCTTGCAGAGTGAAGCAATCAGCACCTTGGACACATGAACAGAATACAATTTTACAGGGCTTGGGGCTTAGCCACTGTGGTAACCCAGCATGCGAGTTCTCCAAGTACAGCGCACAGAGCAGCCAGAGAGCAGGGAATGCTCAGACTCCTTCTCCTCATGAGGAAGGCAAACACAGGCACCTATTTCTGAATTGAAGGATGCCTGCACACGGGGAAGTCCCTTGCACCCTCTGTCCAGATTCCCTCTCTACTCATAGGTTTTGGTGAGTGCCAGGAATGCTTGTCAGAATATCTGTGGTCAAAGGATCACAGCAGGTCTCTGGCCCCAGGGGTTGGGGGTCATTACAACAGAAATTTGTGACCCCAGTACCCACTTCGTTAACCCACTGACCATCAAGCCCAGGTCACACTAAAAGAATAGCTTGGATCTTTAAACCTCCAAGTTTCCTGGGGGAAAGAAAGATATAGACAAATCACAAGGAGGACTGTGCAAGGATAATTGGCAGAGGCAGTAAAGGGAGTGACTCTTGACTTTATAAAACTGTTCCTACCTGAAAAAGTAGAAGGCCATTAGCAAACCAGCTCCAAGAAGGGCCCCCACAACAATTCCCGTCACTGCTGATTCTTCTAGGCCACCTGCTTGAAAAAGAAACAGACAATCAAGGATCATTTTGAGAAACTGATAGAAATGAAAGTTTCATTCATTGGAAAGTATCTCTCAATCTCTCTCTCAAAGCAAAATTTCCTTTCTTTGTAAGAAAGAAAGTTCCTAGGAGATCCTGGTTTCTTTGTTTCCTTGCTTAGTGTAAAGCTTAGGAAACGCTTTTGGGAAAGCACTAGATAAACATACTGCTGCAAGACAGTGAGCAGAATGGCAACCGAAACAGATTCTAGAAGGATCTGAGGAAAACTGGAAACCAAAGACTTCAGATATATCCACACTCTTTAGAGTTGATAGTCAAGGACAACTGGGTGGACCACGGCGCTGACCCAGCACTTCTTTTTTTTTTCACAGATGGATGGTAACACTTAAAGGCGCTAGAAGATTTGGTGAAAAATTCACTGGGGCAGGGTTCTGTTTTTAGATATTCTCTCACAAAAGCCAGAGTTCCATGTCAAAATGTCCTATATAACTCTGTGAAAAGGTGAATCATAATTTGAAATAATCCTGTTTGGTAGTGTCCTAGTTATATAAAAATGATAAATAACTAGCTCATACATACAGAATTTAACATAAGGCCTTTGGAGTATTGTCTCATTTAGTCCCCATACAGAAGACTTAAGAGTTGGGCACATTTCTTTCATTTACACATGGGGAAAGTGAGGCTTTGAAAGAGTTAATGGAATACTCCGAGGGTCAAAAAAACCAGCAAGTGATGAGGGTAAGCAATCAGAGCCAGGTCTACTAACTTCAGAAACTTAGCACATATAGTTCTTCCTAGATTCCTTTCCATAATTATTGCCTGGATAGACATACTTTATAATTTGAAAAACAAATGGGCCCAAAAAATAATGAGCGTATGTATATCCACCTAAAATGATAAACCTTCCTGAAAGATGGATCCCCACCTGATTCTGTATCACCAGGCCGTAAAGGGTCTAAAATGATGGTTTTTAATGCTTTTCCTTCCTACATGAGTCATAAAAATATCCATTTGCATCTCTATTTATGTACAGAGGCTTTTCATAGATAATGTTTCATGCTTATTTGGCAATTTATTAAATTTTCAGGTGTTTAAAAGGCAAGGAGACCCTCATTGTTATACAAAATTACATATAAGAGGTTGTGAGGGGAAAAGGAAAAAAATTAAAAAAAAAAAAACAAGGGAGAGAATTAAATTACAGCAGATGGGATAGAGAGAGAGGATGGGAGGGGAGGGGAGGGGGGATAGTAGAGGATAGGAAAGGTAGCAGAATATAACAGTTACTAATATGGCATTATGTAAAAATGTGGATGTGTAACCGATGTGATTCTGCAATTTGTATACTGGGTAAAAATGGGAGTTCATAACCCACTTGAATCTAAAGTATGAAATATGATATGTCAAGAGCTTTGTAATGTTTTGAACAACCAATAAAAAAAAATAAAAATAAATAAATAAAAGGCACTATCTGTTTGATTCTGAGGAGTTGGAGGATAACTACAGACCAAAAATCCAAATGAGACTTGTTATGCTCTTATGATAGATGAATAAGTGCACAGAGTTTAGTGATTGATATTTTGATTTCACCTGAAAGTGGAAACCTCAAATAACTAAGGTTACAATAAGAGATGTAAAACCAGGAGAAGGCTTCTACTATTTTGGAAGAGAGGAATGGAAGAGAAGAAAGATCTAGAAGCCTCTAATAAAGATAAGCACCAGTTTGTGAACTGTTCTCGTGTGCTTTATCACATCAAGGAAAAAAAAAAAAAGAAATGGAAAATTTCAGAACAGGAGCTTCCACAGAACACCTGCACGTGAGACTTCGCACAATCCTGAGACTGAGAAGAGGAAACACACAGCAGATTAAGTCTCTAAACTTACACGATTTGCAAGGAGGGCCGTTGCTATGCTCTACAGTTCTGGTTTCATCTATTCGCAGTTTCAAAGGGCCCCAAGGATATTTAACATTAGGACGCATTTCAAAACGACCCTCTTTTCCAAAGTAGTCGCCAATAACCTACAAAAAGGAAAAAAAAAAATTAACAAAAGGAAAGGTCAAAGGTATCTGTTTCCAAAACAGACACTAAGCTCACAGCCTTGCATTACCACCCCAAAAAATGCACAGCCTGAACTAAATGCCTCCAGTACCAAGGAAGCCACACAGCCCCTCACATCAATTCACCTCTTGCGGGAGTGACAGCAGGAGCTGTCCCTGGTATTCTGCAGTTACATTACCAAGTGAAAAGAGAAGAGTTCTCCCCTCCACACAAAAACAGTGATCTTGGCCTTTTCCTTGCTCATCTGACAGGACATTGCTTCACCTACCTGCCACAGAGCAGCCACGCAATCAGCCATTTGTAAGGCCCCAGTAATCTCAGGGAGGAGTGCAGGAAAGCCATGGGTCACTGAATACCCAGGCTACCCCTCATTTAGTTTAGCATATAATTAAAGCATTAAATAGTATCTTTTAAGAACATCCTGTTTTGCCTCATTCGGTTGAAAGGCAAGTCCTTTGGGGGTCACATTCTCCTCTCCAGTAAATTCACCCCTTTTCTATCCTCATTACCAACGTGAACTCTTTCAGTTGTGTCCTAGAAAACTGTTACTTTTTCCTGGTTCAGTTTCAGGGTCACCCCTTGGATTCTGGTTAAGATGACCAACCAGCTCCCCAAGCCAGGATCTGGGAGTACCCTCCCACTGGGTTCTCAGAATTCGTCTTTCTTTTGTCTGGGCACAGGCACATGGCTTCTAGGCAGCTGGGGATAGCCTCTCTCTCTCTCTCCTGACTGGGGCCCAGCAGGCTCTCACAGGCTACATGGGGTCACAATAAAAAGAGTTCTAGATCCTTACTAAAATAATACCAATCACTAATGTGCACCAAGCTGTTACCAAGTTCCTTATACTCCCACACCTGCAGCCTCACAATGGACCATGATGGAATATTACTTCCCACCTTTCCTTGAGGAGGACACTGTACTGCAGATGAGACCCAAACTACCAAAAAGGTAAGCAGTGAAGGTAATTCTGGCTGCCTTGTGCCTCTTGCACAAAGACCAGGCACATCTGTACAGGGAGAAAACAACAGTTTCCACATGCCAAGACCATAAAGGGCAACAAGAGCAATGACCCTGGGCAAGAACTTTCAAAGAAACACAGGGAAGTGGCATTAAATTGCTGGAACATCACATGTTTGTAAAATTCTTATACACATATTTATTACCAAGTGTGTATGGTACTTTTCTAGGTTTCGTCTTATCTGGTCCTCACAACAGTCTTGTGAGATTAGCAAGGAAGCTATTATGATTTTTGTGTTATAGCTGAGAAAACTGAGATAGAGAGCTCACACCCCCAGTAAGCATCAGACTCATCTTTTCACTTCAGATGCTATCCTGAAACTATACCATCTTCTGAAATATTAACATGTGTAGAATTTATAACCTCTCTCTCTCTCTCTCTCTCTCTCTCTCTCTCTCTCTCTCACACACACACACACACACACACACACACACACACACATAAATCTCAAAATCTAAGGGACAAATACAGTTTCACTTTACCTCTTTCATCCAATGCCCCTGTTGCAGAGGACTCCATGTGATTCTTGATCACTTGAAAGTTTGGATTTCCCCAAGGAGAATAAACATGGAATCATTTCCTGATGTCCTCCCCAATACCCTCAACCAACAGTGAGCTCTCCCTACTTGGAAACTCCCATGTATTCAATTCCTTTGCATCTGAGGGCTGCTTTGGATACCAGGACAAATCCACTCTTGGAGTCCCCATGTGCAGAAGGAGCTATGGATGCAGAAGTCTCGTTTGCTCACCTCCTGGGTCCCTGCTTCGACGTCCGTCATGGCAATCACAGAGAAGTCCCCGTACCGATCTCCATTGGCATCTATGGAGACCTGCCCAGCAATACCTGCAGGACAAAAGTGAGGAACTCCAGGTTGGTTACTTAAAATACCTCTGTCTGCCAAGAAGAACCAGAAAATGAATTGAGAGGATTTCTTTAAACAAATTCATGCCACAGGGAATCTCATCAGACTTCGGCATTTTTGTTGGCATTTGGAAAGACATTGTAATTTCATCTGTGTCTGCATTCCTAAATTCTTAACATTTCTCCATTTAAAAATGAAAAGAAAGAGAAATAAATGATCTTCGTTGGAGAGTATGGTTAAAAAAAAAAAAAAGATTAAGACTAATCCTGAAAGCAGAATGCTTATTCCTGAGTTTTTTATCAATTTTTCTAAAAAAATGGCTGAGTAGGCAGTGGAGGTGGGGTACATTCACAGCCTTTTCATAGGTTCCATTATCACTGGACAAATGTTACCAAAGAAAAATCATTCCAGGCCCAAGACCCCGTGAACATGCTTGAAACAGGCTTCTTTCCTATACAGGAAAGCAGAGGGGCTCCTTCATGAGTCATCAGAACCAATAGCTGAAGCACTATTCTTTATCCTGATGGGCTCATTATTTATCCACGTGTCTGGAAGGTGACTAGGTGCTGAATTAGTATGGCAGCTGAGGCCAACTTCAATCAGACACATTCTCTGCTCAAGAGAGGGACAGACTGAACTGGGGATTTAGCTGGCTCACCCGAGAGTCTAACTGCTTGCACTGAATTCCAGCATTAACATTTCCTGCCTTTGTGACCTTGGGCAAGGCACTTATCCCGCTGAGTATCAGTCACCACAAGTGTAAAAGAAGCATCATAACACTTCCCTCCCGAGGGGCAGGAGAGATGATGACATGGGATAAAACAGGTAAAGCACTCAGACACATATTTAAGAGAAGTTAGGTGTTTCCTTCTGGTGTTATAACTATCACTATTGCTAATACTACAGATTGAGATTCTTTACCAAATGTTTGGGACCAGAAATGTTTTGGGTTTCAGGGTTTTGCATATTTTATAACACTTGCATATAAGATGTGAGATATCTTAGGGATGGAACTCACATCTAAACAGAAAATTCATTTATGTTTCATAGACATCTGATGCACATAGCCAGAAGGTTAATTTTACATAATATTTTAAATAACTTTGTGCATGAAACAAACTTTCACAGTGAGGAACTTTCCACCTGCAGTGTCATTTCAGCACTCAAAAAGTTTCGGATTTTGGAGCACTTTGAATTTCAGATATTTTAATTAAAGATGCTTATCCTGTATTTATCTTATAATTACTATTATTGTTACTTTGCTTGAGGTCAGACAGAAAACACCTGACCATGCCCAATCTCTCAGAGAATGAACTAGCTCATTGAGTTGGAGAATGAGAAGGGATTCAGTAAAAGAGCAGGGATTTTATAGGTACATGGGAGGAAGTAGCAATTGAGACAAGCAGCAATTGAGTAGTGTGAGTATATAGGCAGAAAGGTTGGCCTATTTGTATTTACCAAGGCAGAGAGGCCAAGAAGAACCAGAGGAACTGTGAGGTTTCCGGGGAGATGGCCCATGTGCATGAAGGGGTACAGTAAGAGGTAAGGCTGGAATGTAGAGTGGAGAAAACAACACACACTTGCTTCAGCCAGCGATGATGAGCTGATATTAAATACATCTGTATTCTCATTTTCATTCACTAAGTTGGAGAATGCTTACGTCAGCCACATTCTGATTAACTAAAGCTATTTGTCTTATTTTGGGGGAGTTCCATGTAATTCTTAATTGGCATTTCTATTGATTTGGGTCTCTTGGGAAGTACCGACGGCTCCAGTAAAATGGTTGTCTGGGGAAAAGCATCCCAAGGGAAAGTTCCATCCTCTGGTGTGGTCTGGAGAGGGCAAGTATTTGGGTTTACTGTCCTTTGGGCTGTGGTTTTAAGGTCCACTGATTTTTCCAGACTTTGGTCTACTTTGCTGGAAACAGAATGGAGCTACCATTCATCCTGATTTTTTGTCTTCTTAATATAGACTGGTTATAAAGAATACACCTATCTTCAACTTGTGTATCCTTAATAGGCTATAAAACATTTAAGCAATAAATATGTTGTGTGTGTGTGTGTGTGTGTGTGTGAGAGAGAGATATTGGCTATCCAAAACCATTTATCTTTCTCTGCAGAGGTGTTTGAGAGGGTGTGTCCTGCTAAGTGTTTTTCAGAGTATTTTATAAGGCAAGGTGGCCCTAGTAATCCAAGACCTCATTACACCTTTAAGTTTTGACAATTCTGCCAAGAAAGGGGGTGAGAACCCTCAGGATGGCCAATTAGCAAAGTGAGATTTCACCTGAGAGTATCGAACATAAGGCGAGATTGTCAGGCTGACAGCAGAATTTTCCTGTCCATGAGTAATGAGACCTTCCCCCTCATTTCTATTTGCCTGTAGTGGACGGAGCTCAAGGTCTGAGCCACAGTCCTATTTACCCTGTCACTCTGACCTCTCACACAGAGGAAACTCAGCTTCTTCCCAAGCCATTTACTGAAAGTCTTGAGAGTTGATCACAGGGTTCGTGGCAATAAAATCCAAATTTGTCAAATAACATCCAGAGTATTTTTACCTTGACAACTTAATGATCACTTACGGTGACCACTAAAATTAAAATTGTTTTTAATTTTAGGAAGGTTAAGGTTTTTCTTCATACAGATATCTTAGCGTTCTTTGGGGGCCTACCCTCAAATGGATCATTGTTTAGCAAATAAAAAGGCTCTGCAAACCATTCAAACCCAAAACTTATCTTGGCTTCAAATGTCTTTACATTTGGACATACGGGATGCTAATTTTAGACCAAACTAGACAATTGATTGTTTCAGGATTCATTTCATATTGATGTGTAGACCCCACTCTGGAAAGGAAGTATCTAATCAAGATGGCCCACAGGAAAATCCATCCCATGCTCTGGCTCTAAAAAAACTATATTCCAACCACCATGGGCACCTGCCCTTCCCTAACGACCTCCCTCAGCGGTGCCCTCCAGCATCCCCCAACTCTGGCTTCTGTCCCTCTGTCAAAAGACCAAGAACAGATGACCACACCAGGAGTGAGTAACAGTTACAAATGGGATGTGGCCGACCAAGGTTGTGTCCCCACACATGGGCTTCTCCGCGTATTGTGCACAGCTTCTGGGAAATTCGACCTTGTCCTAATGTGCCCCTTGAATCACCCTGTTTGATCCCAGCTCCTCAGCTAAAGCAGTGAGAGGTAAAGCAAGATCACTCTGGAGACTTACTCACTCACATCCGACTATCAGCCCAGAGTAAAGGAGATGTCACTCTGGTTTCAAGTAAGACACAGCATCCATTGAAACCACCATGGAAAATGAAATCCACCAATGGCCACCATGGCTACTCCCCAGACAACACTAAATGGAGCCTGACCCCTTCCTTCTGTCCTAACCTTTGTAATGACTAAGGATGAGGTGAGGCCATAGAGTGGCTAGGAGGCCTTCATGGGGAAAAAATAAAAAGTGCCCAAAACCTGGACTTGGTTGTTCCTGATGCTGAGATTTTTCACTAGTGTGATTACGAAGACATGCATCTGCATACCCCAATCCATGAAAGGGTCAAAGGAAGAGTTAGCACAACGTAGAACTGGGAGAAGGGTCCTTGCCAGTCATCAGCTAGCCCAACCTCCTGACCAAGCAGGTCAAGAAAGAGAAGCCCAGAGGAAAGAGGTTATTAGTCAGTGGCTGGTGTGAGGGTCCCTGATCCCTGGTCCTTTCATCTGCACTTATGTTAATGGTTCTCAGAAGAAGCCCCTCAGCATACTACAGTTTATTTCAATAAATAATGCAGATCATTATCACTCTAAACCCATGGGTGGCTTTCCAAATCACCCACATGGAGTCTAGTTCCTCAGCAAGGCATCTGGGTCCACAGGCTGTCTGGTTTTGACCCCTATCACACTGCCCACACAGGGGGAGTCAGTCACACAGACTCCCCGCTCCTCAGGGGACACTGCACTTTGTAACCGGGGGCAGTGAGGCTCTCTGCAATTGCTGCTCCTCCTGCAGGGTTCTCCTCAACAGCTCCATAACCTCTCCCCCTTCTCAAGTCTCTACCAACTGCCAACTCAGGCAGGCCTTCCCTGACCACTGAACCAGCTCCTTCTACCTCCCTACCCTGCTTCACTTCATAACCCCTGAAATGGAATGCCTTTTAACTCTCTGTTCCTCCCTCTTGATGTAAGCTCAACTGATCACAGGGAACATTTTTAGTTCACTGGCAAATCCTCAGCACCTTGAATACTGCCTGGTACATAGTAGGTACTCAGAGGATGTTGGTCAAATGAATCAATGAATGAATATTCCCATATTAGATTTTTTTGGTTTTTTGAGGTTAGAGGAAACCTGTACTCTTCTGTACATTGTTGGCAGAATATAGATTAGTAGACCTTTCTGAAAGACGACTTGGCAATATCTAATGCAATTTATAAAGCACCAAAGTATTTTTAGACCCAGAAATCTCACAACTAGGCATGTTCTCTGTTGGAAATAGTCACAAAAATTTACTAAAATGGGCAAGAAACCTGTGATAGCATATTGTATAACAGCAAAAACTGTAAACACTTAAAAGTTGAGTAAAGAAATTCTGGTACAGACATAAGGTGGAATAATATATAATTCTCACTGTATGTTGGATCTATGAGTGCTCATAAGAAAAATTCTTTTATGTGACATACAAGCAGGAAAAATGGTAAGATGAAAAATGACGTTCTCATATGATCCGTTTGTGTAAAGTGTACATGCAAGCAGAAGGCATAAAATAATGTTAGACAGGAGCACATAGGAAACTGTCGATATTGATGGCATTGGGGAAAGAGCACTAGCGTGGAAAGGAAAGCTTTAACTTTTCACTTTGTACTGTTTAAATTTGTTAGCCAACAAAAGTCTCATTCGTGTATAATTTGTAAATGTCAAATGAGGTTGCTTGAGTGTTGAGGCTATAGGCCTCCCCACCGCTGCTGTTGTTCTCAGACTTCTCTATTTTTAATAAAGCAACACTACAGCAACTCAGGAGGCTGAGGCAGAAGAGCTGCAAGTCTGAGGCCAGCCTCAGCAACTTAGCGAGTTCCTAAGCAATTTAGTGAGATCCATAAAATAAAGAGATAAAAAGGGCTGGGGATGTAGCTCAGTGGTGAAGTGGCCTGGGGTTCAAGCCCCAGTACCAAAAGAAAGAGTGGGGTCGGGGAGAGAGAAGGAGAATATTAGCCATTTTAAAAGTAAATAAAAGCAGAGGGCCCAGGTGGACCTGCACACCATCTTTAATCACCAGGTTTAACCACGACAGCAGTGTCTTCAGAGCGTCGCAAAAACCAACACAGTCTGAACAAGGAATGTCTACCTGTAATTTCTTCACAAACCAATTGTCCTGCTGGGAATGAAACTCGTGTTCAATGTAAATTGAAAAAGCATAAAGTTGCTACCTAAATAATCAGAAGACAAGAAGATATTTCCTGTTTTGGTGGGACCTTCTCAAAGCACATCCACATAACCTAATTTCATTTAATTTTTCACAAGCCTGTAAGGTAGGTTGATCTTGATTTTTATCCATACTTTAAAACTAGGAAAAGCAAGACATCGAAAGGTCCCACAGATCAACAGAGAGAAAGAGACCCACCGAAGCAGCCGCTTAGTGGGCTGCAATGCTGTCTCCATGTAGATCAAATCCCTACCTTCAAATGTTCTGTTCCAGGTCTGCTGGATAATCTTCCCACCATCCTTCTTGCTATAACCAGCTCTGAGTACTTCATGTAAAGCCAGGACATAGAGGAGGATGGCATCATGGAATCCTTCAACGAACATGTTCACCTGGAAAGAAAGCCCCGTTGGGTGATCCCAAAGACCAGCTGACTCACATTCACCATGTAACAGAAGCAATCACAACAGTTAACAAGTGGTCTGGGGGTCCGTGAGCAATGCAGGGGTGGGCAGAGGGGAACTAACTAGAGTCATGTCAAAGTTTTCCTGGCACTGGCTTAGTGAAGAAAACTCTCCTCCTGTGTGGGTTTTACAGAAGCCAAGAAAATCACACACATTAGGACTGTGTTGGGGCTCAGAGGTAGAGCACTCATCTCGCATGCATGAGGCACTGGGTTCAATCCTCAGCACCACATGAAAATAAAATAAAGGTATTGTGACAAAAAGAAAAAAAAACACTGGCCAGGTGAAGTGTTCCAGGCATACCGGCCTTTGCCAATAGTTGCCTCTCAGGAGTGTCCTCCTCTCACACTTCTGCTCTCTACTTCAACATGACCCCAACACCCCCACATCCCAAGATTTTCTTCACCTTCAGCAGCCTCGGTGATCTCTCTAGGCTCTACTGTGAAATATGCTACAAGAACAGCAGGAACCCATTCATTCTTACTCAACTCTACTGGGCGCCTGGTAATAGCTAGTGCTAAAGAAGCAGAGAAGAATGTGCACCATGACTTCTGCCTGCCTGAGGAGCCAGGGCTGGTGTCTCACCTCTATCAGCCACGACACCTCAATTCCTCTTTCCACCCCTGCCAAGTTCCACCGACAGGAATGGGTGATGAGCTTGGGCCGTCAGTGCGACCCGTGGAGTTCTGTCTCTAGTGAAGGTGGCCCTGCCCTCTGGCAACTTACAGTTTCATTAAAAAAATAATAATAAATTAAAAAAAAACGATGGCCCTGTGAACTTGGAGCTGTCACTTAATGATGCTGAGCGTTGTTTCTTTCATCTACATATTGACCATGAGACTAGCACCTGCTTCACGGAGTGGTTACAAGAACCACTTGGCACAGCAGCCTAGGGTGCTTAATGCATGATGTGAGCACACGTCAAGTAGTCAACGAATATGAGCCAGCATTACTGTGACTCTTTTATGGACTCTGAAGTGTCCCCGGGGCTGTGTTAGAGGTCTGTTCAGGGCACAAGAGAAAGAGAAGTCAACATTATGGGTTGGGGAAGCGAAGTCGGAGAGGCCTTACAGGGGTGGCAAAAGTCGAACCTTTTAAAAGTGAACCCAAGCCACCTTCTCTCAGGAGAAAGTGTCAATGATGGAACCTCAAGGCTTCAGAACAAACGGGGCTTCCCTCAGGGGCCCAGCAGGAAGCTCTTGTGTGAGGCACCACCTGCCCCAGCAGAAGAGAACACAACTGGCCCTGCGTCCTCAGGTCAAACATGCGCTCCTTACGAGACAGACCTCAGCTCAATGTCCTGCTCCTCTTGGCCTCCTTCCACCCTTAAGGTTGGGGAGTCCTATTTGTGTTCCAGAAGCAAATGTTCCAGGTCTGCCAAATCCCAGGGATGAAAAACAGCTTAAAATACTGGTTCAAGAGCCCGGGTCCCCTTTGCAGCCCTGTCACCTCCTCACCATGTCTTGGCACCATTCCAAGCCTCAGTTTCTTCATCTAGAATATGAAGGAAATAACAGTACCTATCTCATAGGTGGCTGTTGGGCTTAAAAGAATTAGTGAATGTACCAGTTGACCCAGCTATCCCACTCCTTGGTTTATACCCAAAGGACTTAAAATCAGCATACTACAGTGACACAGCCCCATCAATGTTTATAGCAGCTGAATGCACAATGGCTAAACTATGGAACTAACCTACATGCCCTTCAACAGATGAATGGATAAAGAAAATTGTGGTACATATACATAATTGAATATTACTCACCTTTGAAAAAGAACAAAATATGGCATTTGCCAATAAATGGATGAAAGCAGAGACTATCACACTAAGTGAAATAAAGCAATCCCCAAAAACCAAAGGCCGAATGTTTTCTCTAATAAGACAATGCTGATCCATAGTCTGGTGGGATTGTGCAGAGGGGAGTGAGGGGAGGGGTGGGGCTGTGGAGAAGGGAAGGATGGTAAAATGAGACAGACATTATTACCCTGTATACATGTGTGATTACACTACTGGGGTGACTCTGCACCATATACAGCCAGAGGAATGAGAAGTTGTGCTCCACTTGTGTACAATGTGTTAAAATGCATTCTAATAACTAATTAGAACAAATTTAAAAATTTAAAAAAGAGAATAATAAGATTCTCTACAAGTCAAACATATTCTCATCTAATGATTTTAGGGAAAAGTTCAATTAAACTAAGTTCTGTTTAAAAAAAAAAAATTAGTGAATGTAAGACTTCAAATAGCATCTGACAGAATCAGCACCTGCTATTGGCTTTAGCTACCTAGTAGGATAGTCACAAACCAGGAATCCTGCTTAGCTTCTAATTCCAAGAGGAGCATAGGAAGTAAGTGACTCACTCACAGGCATGACAGATCCCATCAACCCATCTAACACTTACTAGAAACTATGGCTCCTCATTGATGCCCTCTTACTTCCTCATGGCCATAACCTTGATTCAGCCCTGGGCACAGCCCAAGGTAGTCAATCGCACTGACCCACCGGGAGAGCTGAGGGTGAGATAGAGTGCAGGTTCATAGGAGAGCTGAGATGGCTGGCTGCAGCCACAGTCCAGGCCCAGCCCTGACGTCACTTATGCTCTCCAATATTTAGTTTTCCCATCCCTTAAGCAGGAGTTAGAACCTTGCAGAACTTTTCCAGGGCTTCAATGAACTAGTGCCCATAGAACACCTGAAACAGTCCCTGGGACAGTGAAGCACTGGTAATGTTGGCCATCAAGCTTATGTCCCAGGGCCATTATTTTCTTGGACCAAAAAAAAAGAAAAAAAAGATACAGAAATAACATCTACTGGTCAAAGATAATTTTCTGCTGCTTTGGCTGTGCTAACTCAATTTTCCAAAGGAATGTGAAATTTTTGCTCAGGCCCTGAAGTCATCAGGGCTTGAGAAAGCATGCATGTAGATGAATTTTAACAAGTAGACTTTAGCTGTGTCACTTAATTCTGAAGCCATACTTCTTTTTCAAAAGCTCTGTCTTCTCTTTGGTAGTGTTACAGAGGAAGTCATGGAATCACAAAAATGCAGGCCTCTTGGAAAAGCCCTAGTTTAATCCCTTCCTTGCTTTGAAGACCAAAAGAGCATTGCTCTTCTCAGTCTCCCTGTGTTCTGTACTCAAGTGTTGTGCTCTGTAAGCTCCTGGATCCTGGGGTACCTAGAATACCCCAGCTTAAATTATAAAGTACAAGTGGGCCTCACCTGCCCACCTCCCCTCCTTCTCCTCCTGTCCTGTTCTCAAAATCCTCAACCAAGGTTCCCACACTGACGTTGGCCACCTGACACTCCGCACATGTGCCATAGCCCCGCTCTGTCTAGCCTTTCTTTGTCTCCCTTCTTAATATGCCCTGTACAATCCAGGATGGGAAAAGCAATTATCTACCTGAGAAGGATGCACTTAGATTATCTGTCCAACAGGTTCCATAAAAGAAGAGGATAGATAAGTCCTGAACACAAGCTCTCGGGTCTGAAAACTCAGTCTATTCCGATTTGCAAGAGCATCGCAACATTTACCTCCATTCCTCTCAAAGTGGCTGAGTGTCTCCCTCTCCTGCCAAATTTAGCAGGTGAGCTGCTGACCCTGCCGAGGTTTGCTGGCACCCTAGCCTGCTGCGGAGGAGGTTTCATAACACCTACCTCATAAGACCTCAAGCCAGAAGCAAAACCCTAGAGACCTTCTTTTCTCGAGGAGAACATTTTCACATCTACACGTGTTTTTTAGTGGGAGGAAAGCCCGTTAGCACATTACAGACACTGAAAATTGGAAGTGCAAATTAAGGGGAGGAACTGAGAGAGAGAGAAAAAAAAAACAGAGTATTAAGTTGTCTTAGGAACACTTTCCACTGGGCCTCTAAGCTGAAAGGAACCAGGTCATCTGGTCTATCCCCCTGCCTCTGGACACAACATCACTTGATCCTCTAAGTCCTGACTAACACAGATCATGCCATTATTTCCAATCACAGAAAATGGGATTCCCTCACCTGAGTAACTTGTTTTAGCATTTAGCATCTTTTCTAGCCAGAAAGCTCTCCCTTACCATCACTAGCCATAGGTCATCAAATTCCTAAAGGCAGCCATTCCTTTGATAGCCACTGAACAGCTACATTAAGAGGACAATACAGTTTGCAACCTGTACCAGACAGCACAGCTGCTCCGTACACACACAGAGCTGGGCTGACAGCTGCTCTGTACACACAGAGGTGGGCTGTGTGCGTGGAAGTGCATGCATGAGGGCCTTCATCCCTGATAGCGCCTGCCGGCCACATCTCCTTATTAGAGTTTTTGAAAATTCCCTATCACAGCAAAAGCTGAATAGACATCCTGGGGTGGGGGTTGTTTTTGTTTTTTAACTGAGCATAACGAGTTGGCATTCATGACTTGGCTCCTATCAGTGACTTTGGACAGCATCTTCTTCATTCCTGTGAAGGAGGTGGCAAATTCATGTTTAGATGAATTTCTCAATGCTTATATTCCAAACAAATAAGCAAAGGCTGCTGCATGCCTCAGATGTTGTTAAAAAGGGAGTGACATGTCACATGAGGACACCTGCATATCTGAGGAAGCCTGTGAAGCTGTGAGATAGAACGTCCTAGAAGAACACTACCAGAGTTCAAAGGAAGGCAAGGCAGGTCCAGCATGTTGCTTGTGGTATACAAAGCGTGTTGCTTGTGGTATACACGTGAACTCACATGTATCACTCGGTGGATCTATCTTCCTTACCACAAACCAGTGGTTCTCAGTGCAAAAGAGGGAAGCAGAGGGTTTGGGCAGAATTCCTTAAGAGTCCTTTGAAAATGACATGACTTTTAACCTCCCATTCAGCTGAAGGGCAGATGGGGAAAGCAAAATTTTGATGGAGAGCAAGCAAAAGTCCATGACCTGACCTTCCCCCTTAAAAGCCAATGATGACAGCAT